GATTTCTTGCTTGGTCAAATCGTTGCCTTTTACACCTGTAGTAAATGCAGTTACGTGATCACGTGGGTCTGTTGTGCCGTCATATTTCGAGATTTCAGGCATTTTGAACTTTTTAGGGATTGGAAGGGGAGCAGCACTTGGTTTCCAAGGTTGTTGCGAATACTTATCCACATCCAGTCCTTTGATCACAGGAGGAACACCAGGGATTTGCTCAATGCGCTCATTTTGTTCCTTAAGCTGTTTCTACAAAGTTAGTACTAAATTTTGCAAATGAGAATTACTTGAATTACCTGGTTCTCCTTCCTGTGGCTCACTGGGGGTTCTTCCATTTCTAGAATTGATAAGGCCAGAACGAGGATTCTCCAGTGTGTTGTTATTAGGCGTAAGTGTAGGCGGTGCAACATGTAATCGACTAACAAGAGTTTGAAGAGCTTTGTTAACCCGTGCATCAATTACTTTCTGTAAAGCGTCAGCCGCTCCTTCAAAATATTCAGATTGCTCTTGTTCAACAGCCCGGGATTCAGGAGTAGGAGTGCCTTCACGAGATTGACGTGGTGAATTTTGAGGGGTAGGAACCACGTTAATGTTTTGTTAATCACCTTGATTTTGATGGACTTGATGTTCATGGTTTCCCAAGGTATTCTCACTGTTATTGTTGTTGTTGTTGTTGTTGTTCGACGTGATGATAATAACAGATAAAATGTAACTTAAAGAGAATAGATTATCAGATTCCCGGTAACGAAACCAATTTGTTTAACCAGAAAACTGAATATTTGGTTAAAGCTAGAATTTAATAGAGAAATCGGGTTACTGATAATCAAGAAATAAGAGATTTTGTGAACAACAATAAAGCAATGAATAAGAGTATATTTCAGTATAATCGGAATGATATTTCGTGTCCTACAAATGTTGTGACTTTCTCCTTTTATAGTCAATTCTAAGAGAAAGTGTAATATCTTTGTCTTAATGAGGCAATTACGAGCAGTAAATGACATTAAAAGAAACGTTATTCAATCATTCTTATTAAATACAAATTCTCTAACGTATTTGGCATTTAATGTTGAATTTGGACTCTTTTACGCTATCAGATTCATATCTTCAATTCCTTCTGATCTTCGAGCTTTAAATGGCTCGAACAGGTACGAGTCTCGTTTCATCTGGATAGTAGCTCGTATCTTATCTCCCGCATCTATTGTTGCTCGTGTCTTCTAACTGTTTGTCATGCTTTGACTATTTGACCGGTCCACGTGTCATGACATGTCATCTTCAATATTTAAATTCAGTTTTTTCCCAATAGCTCCCTACATAATGTATTTGAGATTATTCCAACTTCAAGCTGGTCTTCTTCTAACACAGAGGAAGAGAGTAATTAGGAGCTTTTGTAATTCGACATTGTGCATTCTCTGCTGGAAAAATAGCATATCTTGATCTGAAGTTATCACTTGAAGGCAAATGAAAGCACGTTGAAAAGAAATGCCGCTTAGAAACCCGGCTTTCGCAATGACTAAAAGGGTTAATGATAACTTTATTACTGATCAGCTCATGATCTTCTGGATGATATTTACCGGACATAGCATTCTTAATGAATGGATGATTAAGCAGCATATCTGCAGTCCATCTCCAATTATGATCTTTTTCAAAACACTTGACCAGGAAGTCCTTGCATATATTTGAAACATTACTCGGAATCACAGGTTCTTCATGTGTAATCTTGAAGTCCAAATCGTCACTATTTTTATGGCACAACCATAACCGTCTCCCTGTGATCATCTCTACAACAATGCAACCAAGTGCCCAAATATCAACGGCTTTACCATGAATCCCATGAGCTACAGAGCAGAGTCCCTCTATGATGACAACACTTGTTGGAGCCTCTATCCCAGTAGGTATGTGTTTCGTTTTCTACCGTTCTCAAAGACACCCCAAAATCAGCCAACTTCAGGCGCACATCCACAGTACTATCATATTCGTCATCAACAGTAGGAAAAACAAGTATATTACTCGATTTTAGATCGCAGTGAATGAAACCCTTACGATGAACATGAGAAATCCCAGTCAAAAGCTGAAAAGCATAGTATGCAACCTCTATTTCTTCAACCATCGTCTTAGACTTAGAGTAGATATTAATCAAATCATGCAAAGTCCCACCGATAGCATATTCGAGCAAGAGGTTATAAGTATGTTTACCGTTTTCGACACTAACATCTTCTCCAAAGCACTAAACTACATATGGCGACCCTTTCAGCGCATCCAGTATTCTTCCTTCCATTGAAAGCGAAGACGAATCCTTCACTTCTGCAGATTCCACAAAAGTAGACGAACCATCTTTTGGTGCGGCAAGAAACACAGTTCCATAAGAACCGGCACCCAACGCTTTCATCTTTTTCCAATACATTCTTGATTCTTGATAACTTTTCCTTCTCTGTCTATTTTCACCCTAGCTATATAAACCTATTCTTAACCCTAGAAATGAGAATAAATCAAGGAGGAATGATCATTAGAGACGTTCTTTCTGATCTTTAGTACGTAACCCTAACACTATTAATAAAAGTAGACGACAGCTTCTCTAGCCACTTAATATGATCATTAGAGACGTTCTTACTTATATATATAATGCATGCCCAAAGTAATTTAGAATTCTACTAATATATGGATTATGCCTTCATTTTTGTTTGTTTCCATAATGGGTTTATTATTCGCCAAGAAATTAATTAGGGTGCTCTTATGAAAACTTAAAAATAAAACCTTTGTTTCCTAAATCTATTCAACAACGGCTTTCCAAAACTTATTTTCTTGCAATTTACTTCATCAATGTTTTGACAATTACTTTGATGAGCACGTACGTTCTCAAGGTAACTAACTACATTTCTGTTGTACTCCATGAAAAATTAAAAATAATAATCAGTCTAAATTCGAAAATGAATAAATTGAAATTCTAAATTTTAAAAATACTCCTATTAAACTTCTTGAGTATGCATATTTTGCAAACAAGCTGATTTTTAAGAAGTTGGACCTGAGTATTCTTTTCATATCGTGTAGGGAAAAATTTCAATTGTTAATTATGTAATTAAAAAATTCAACACACACACACACACACATATATATATATATATATTTAGTGAGTTACAAATGAACAGAGCAAACAAATAAGTATAAATAATTCTCAACGAGAATAAAACCAATCGTGAGTCAATCTATTTTACATAATATCTGGGAAATTGAAATGCTAGCTTCTTTCATCTTTTTTATTACGGATTCCCAATAAGTATGATTTTATGGTGTGTTTGGCCAATGACTACAGATATTTGTTGGGTCACTTGTTATTCTTGTCTTATTTTTATTATGGCAAATTTATCAAAATCAATTAACTAAAGCATACTTTTAAAAAGGTCTATATTTGCCTATTTTATTATTCGAAGTTATTCGATTTTGATAGACGTTACACTAACGGTTGGATATTTACACTTAACAATTTGGCTTACGGGTTATCCAGCTTTTAAATATCTATGTGTTCGATATCAGGTTAGCAGTTATCAATCAGTTTATAGTAGAAGGTGATCCATACAATAAATACTAAAAAGTCATTTTGGACGAGATTACATCAATGAAGATGTCGCGCAACTGTACCAAAGAGTTTGCCACAATATTTTGCCAGAATTAGCCATAAAAACACCGAAGAATTTATGTACAAAAATTACTTTTGACTTTGCCGATTTCTCAAAGAATGACTCGTAAACAACCGAAACCAAAATGAAAAAAAAAATGTGAAATAAACACTTTTGGCCTTTGTGCAGCGTAGACATAGCAAAAGAGACATATTAATTCTCAAGCTAATGGATGCTAAAATTTCCCAGAATAGGGTTAATTGTTGAAAATTTATACGTCGTTTTCAGAATTAACTAGAATGAGTACTGCTTAGGGATTTGGCCTTTAGGGTTTCTATAGATACTTTATATGTAAAGGTAGAAATATAAATACAATTATTCTTAAACGACGTTAACGATTTATCCAATAAGACGAGTAATTCACCACCGCACTGATAGGCCGTTAACTATAAAATTTTAATTCGTTCACCAATCGAATATCCGACAACCCGATATCAATAAGCCAATAAATCAATTTTATGATTGTGTTATCAGTTACGTATTGATTTTTGAATAGCCCTAGTGAAAAGGGATGTACGGATTTGATAATAAATGAACGGATTGATCTAATATATAGTGTTCAATTACAGTGGCCCTCGTAAATCATCATCATATAGCATATATTATATATTATATATCATACTATATTATAACTGGGAAACCTCTTATTATTTACCCATCAAAAGCTAATTAACTGTTTTGCCCTTTAACCAAAAATTACATCAAAAAAAACTTTTGTACAAAGATGTAATTACACGTTTTAACAACAACAACAATAACAACAACAAAAACAAAAAGTTTAATTGAAGAAAGACAAATGTGATATCCCTAGCCAGCTTTTACAATGGCCTTTAATTTTCTCTATATTCCACCACTGGACTGCCATCTAGTGAAGTAATACCTATTAAACATGTTAATCCCTTTAATGCATTAGAATTAGAGGACTTAACTAGTAATCAACCTACCAACTTAACCTAGCTAATCGTTCACAAAGGGTTACACCTAATACTGTACACCCCATTGCCCCTAATTGTAAGGCCCAATCACAATTGGTCCACTATCCACCTAAGCCTACCACATTACGTGCAGTAAGCCACGACCAACTCCCTCACATGCAAAACCACTCCCCTACCTTACCCCTTTATTCGGACAACTACATTAAATGATACCCAACAAAAGACACAAACAACACACACACAAGACAAAGGCTCTATTCCCTCTCTACAATCAACTTCTTCAAACCCTAGGTTAATTCCCATGCAGGAACATCATCATGAGATATCCTCCACCATATCTCATTTTTATTCAGAGACACAACCTTCAACACCATCAATCACACCGCCTGTATCCTCCATTACACCTCCTCTGAATATACATATAATATCAACTCATTCGTCAGACCTATCTTCTCAAATCAATACTCCAACTACTTCAACTACTCCCACTCAAACATACAATGCTTGCCAGCAGTCTCAATTACTTGAGAAGGTCTCAACCCCACCCACAAAGACAGAACATTCATCGACTTGTTCGCTCCCAACATCCCCTTTCCTATCTTCACTACTTGATCATGGAGCCCAACTCCATAATTTACACAGCTCAGTCACCACAAGCTCCATTAACACTAACTTCTTGGCTGGAAACGGGCCTCCAGAATCATGCACTAACATTCACCTTGGAGGTGAATCACCAAGAGGTGACAATCCTCATAAACAACCAGCAGACTTAGCCCAAATAATCTCAGAGGGAATGCAACTAGGGACACAGTTATTTGCACGCTACCACTGGTCCTTAATGCAAGCTCCACACCTCTCCCCATTTCAACCTCTAAACCTACCAGTTCCGGTATGGGACCCTACTCCGCTTTACCCACATCGCATTCGACTGCCATTTTATCCTCCTCCACCTTCAACTCCTTCAACCCTATGGATACAACCCTACACGAATCCCCAACCTCTACTGCCTCTCTTGGAACCTCCAATGCCATACACCCCACCCCCATCTCTAGTCAACTCACCCCCACAAAGTCCCAATCATGACGAACAAGACAACAATTTCTAGGTGGAACTAGACGCAACAATCGCCTACAACAGGGAAACTCGGACAATTTATGCATGGCTAGATGGGATCAAAGTGTTTGTGCAAAAGGAAGAATACGAAAGAAAGATTATCGTAAGGTGTCCCCCAACTCTCAGGAACTTCTCTCTACGCATAAGGCCCACAACCAATCCAGAGGTGGGAAAATATGCTATGCTCATACTGCCAACCTTTCTCCTACGTCCAGGAGAGAGCAGGAGTAATTGGATTAGTCAAAGTACTAGCCCTACGGGTGTCTCACAAGATAACCACATGAATTTTATCATTTGGAACTGTAGAGGAGCAATCTCCATGGAGTTCAGGCGTAACTTTAGGTCTCTACTTAACTATAATAGGCCAGCTTTAGTGGTCCTTTTGGAAATGCACTGTCAAACACATCAGGTTGTGAAGGATGATTTTAATTTTGATGGTATGATTGAGGTGGCTGGCACAAGCCATTCTGGTGGAATTGTGATTTTGTGGTTAACCAGTGCATTGGATGTTCAAGTAGTTGCAAACACCACACAAGAAATCCATTGTCAAGTCTAGGTTAAACCATTACCCTTTACTTTTTTATTTACTGCTATTTACGCAAGTAATGAACTAGCTAATCGACAGTTGTTATGGAATAATCTCAGGTCTGTTAAGGATAGTTATCATGGTCCTTGGCTAATTGGTGGTGACTTTAATGAAATCACACATGCTTCTGATAAATTTGGTGGTCTTCCTATTAATAATTCACGATCTAATAATTTTTTAGACTGCCTTAATTATTGACAAATGACTGATTTAGGTTTTAAGGGTAGTCGTTATACTTGGACTAATGGCAGATATAAAAAGTATACCATTCTTGAACGTATTGATCGTATAGTTGCTAACTATGATTGGATAAATCAATATTCAGATGCTCTTGTTACACACCTTCTACGCACACACTCTGATCATTGTCCTATTAAATTAGAACTTCACCACTGTACACTGCCTAGGACTAAAGTTTTTAGGTTTGAAACAATTTGGACTAGTCATCCTGCTTTTAAGGATGTTATTAAACAAGCTTGGTTGGATAATTCCACCCTACTTCCTGCTATAGAAAATTTTACAACAATAGTCCAACAATGGAACACCTCTACGTTTGGTAATATTTTTAAACAAAAAAAAAAAATACTTGCTCGATTAAATGGGATATAGGCCTCTATCCATTATCCAACTAGCATTTTCTTACAAAATTTGGAAAAAGAATTACGTTAGATTTTAATCGAGTACTAAGGTTAGAGGAGGAATTTTGGAAACTGAAATCACGGATTGACTGGCTTATTAACGGGGATGCTAACACTAAAGTTTTCCACCTTAGCACTCTTAATCGTAGAAGGCACAATAGAGTTACAGCTCTTCAAGACCAGGGAGGAAATTGGATAACAGCCTAAGCAAATACTGGATCATATTTCTCTTTATTATCAAAATTTATTTACCACGCAACAAAATTCATCAATTTCAAAATTAAATCTTCTTCCTTCCAACATATTAAACCAAACTGGCCATGATTCCCTAATACAACCTCTACAAAATTTTGAAATTATTAATGCTATCAAGTCTTTCAAGCCTATGAAAGCCCCTGGACCAGATGGACTTCATTCCCTATTTTATCAAAATTATCGGGACA